GCTTTTGCTTTACCTATTAAACTGTCTTTATCTCAACCCACGAGTTTTCTCACTTTTACTCTTCTGATTCTCTCCCCCAACACACCGCGGGAGGAGTGAGCGAGCAACTGTATGGTGCTTAGTTGCTGGCTGGGGTTAAACCATGACAAATTTTGAGGAGTATACTTACAGGTTTTGGGAAATTATCCCAGTTAATACCGTAACTATTTGTTTTCTGTTTAAAAGTATCTCTGATTTCATTGGGACAGTCATAATGAGCCCATTCTTCCACATTTGCTGGTAAGGTATCAACTGATCCTTTCCCTCTAGGCTTCTCTTTTGCAACAGAAACTTCAACCTATAATAAAAATAAGGACATTTATGAGGCCAAATTAACATTCCTGTTGGTATTAAATATTCAGCTAACATTAAAAAAAAAAGGTATCTGCTTAATATCCTTTGAAGTTTTGTCTTTTTTTTTTGACCTCTAGACTGTGGGTTTTATGAAACAGCAGTATTTTGACCAATGCAACAAACAAAAGAAAAGAAAAAGTATCTGTAATTTTATGACCTGCCAAGTCCATGCGACCAAGAGTGAAGGTAAGATATACAGACTCACAGAGAAATGATTCACAGGTTATGAGAGTCTTTACAGGAATGCATCTGAACTATTTAACAAATGAGCCCAGGGAAACATCTCTTAGAAAGAGATGATTGTTTTAATTCCACAGGAAAGGGGTTCTTACTTGTTTCTCTTTCTTTTTGCCTTTCTCTTTTTTAGGAGCAATTATTGACTGTACCTTCTGAGGAGCTGTAAGTTGTGAAGACTTTGATAATATTTTTGTAATAGGTCCTGATGCTGACAACGATACCTAGATAATAAAATAATTAAAATCAATTATTTTCAATTTTCAATAACAATGTCAATTTCTAGTAATAATGATTATTCACTGTAAGTCACTATCTACAGCTATTAACAATTGTCACATACCATGTTATGTTTGTGTAAGAGCTTTCTTCAGAAAACTAAAATTTCAAAGACTCTTAGATGCTCGCATTATTTGTACAAGCATTTAGGATGATCATGACAATGCACTTAAGCAGCTGAACTGTCAAAAGATGACATCATCCCTGTGATAAATACTACTGCTACTTTTTTAACCTATATGGTTGCAAATTCAACTCTTTTTTTAAAACCGCTAGTCTACATTGCTTAATCTTCTACAAAGGATGAATTTCATATCCAAGTAATCTGGAAGACTGCAAAGAGCCACTCTGTTCTCCTTCTGGATTAGTCTTCTATAATGCTAATAATGAATATTATAAAAAAGACATTTCTAAATATCTAAGCATATGAAAGCATCCACTGAAAATTTCTCTGCGCATGCAATAGTACAGCTTCTGATCTTCCCTAAAATACCAAAAACACATTAATTGAGAAAATGAATATATTTTGCTGGAGGGATCAAGAGTAGAACACAAAATCTGAACAAAAAATAATGCTGGGTGCTGCAGAACTTGTGAAAATTTCATATTAAGCGTAACACGTGTCTTTAAAAAAGTCAGAGGCAGCTGATTTGGCTTGGATTATTCAGGTTTTCAGAGAACATTTTAATATCTTCTACTGAGTTATTTATGGAGTCCTAACACTTGAGACACTGCTTTAGAAATGGACATCTGCAGTCAAGTGTGCTTTACTTTTACTCCAAAACAAGGTTAAGCTGTCCGAGTACTTTCATTCCTTAATGCCACATGGTTATTCTTTTTTTCACAGTACTGTTCAGCTGCAAATATGAGTTCTTAGGATTATTGTCATTGTCCTACAGCTGGCACCGACAGCTGCATTAACTCTTAATTTTTTAACTTTTAATAGTTTATTCAAACAGTCATACTCCTTTCAGGTATTTTTTTCTCTAGCAAGACACTCAGACAGTCAAGTTCAGGATATTAAAAATTATGCTTATGTAAAATCTTAAAATATCAATAATCCATTTTTCTTTTTCAAATTCCTGTCTTCCATCAAATGTTAGAGTCTAAACTGATTGGCCAATGAAAACTTGATCATAATTACCACAGGAGTAACAAATTGCAGGCTTTTACAGCTAATTGGTAGGCTGTAGCTTGTGTATAATTTTATTGCAATCTAGTTGATATGTCCCATCTATAGCACTAAGATTGTTTCTATAATGATTTGTGGCATTACTATTATCAAGTATAGATTTAGTCCCTTCAAAGATTCACTCATATTTAATGTATAATTGTTTTCCTATGATTTTTGCTATGATTCTCAATAGCCATTTAAATTAGGCATTCACGTCAATGAGAAATGAAATAGGTTTGTTTGATTTGACATGCTGTAACAATGAAAAAGTGATTAGAGAATAATAATCAGTGAACACTGCCTGTCTATACTTTTTCTCAAATCTTAACAAACAAACGAACATCTGAATTTAATTTAACTATGTCACACAAATCCTTTCAGTCAAATGACAGCCCCTTTGATTCAGCCTAAGTGAAGGTCCATCTGTAATTACCATTCCTCAGAACTGCCAGCAATGTCTTCAGCATGTATTCTGCCACTACTAAGATTACTTAACAAGTTAAAAATACAAAATTTTAGAACCTTTTGCATGAAACGTATGAACGTACTCCAGAGAAACAATGGGCCACTGCTTTTATCCTTAATGTCTGTTCTCTATTTTCCTGAGAGAAAAAAATTTCGTTTAATCCTTAAACCTGAGAAAATATACTAACTATACCATAAAATTGGAAATTCTAAAGATGTAGTTAAAACATCAAATGAATAGCTGGCACCATAATTACACAAGATAACTTGAAATATACTGGCCACATTGTAATATAATATAATACAACCTTATCCAATCTCACCTGCCAGATACGGACGATACAAGCATATGCCATCAAACAGTGCTGCTGATGAAAAGGAGAACTATGACCAGAAAATAAAGCCATTAACGTCTGTGCTCTAAACAAAGCTTCCAATTGTTTAATATTACTCAAATCTTCCAAATTAATTTGGGGCATGGTATCATTTGCTCCAATGTCTATCTTCAAATTTTCTGTAGGTGAAAATTTTGGTATAGTATTTTTTTCTGTTAAAAAACAAATAACATGCTCACAGTGACAGTATTTAAAAAATGTATTCAAAAGTTAAAATTTCTGACGTGAAAATGAAAATATTTATGGAAAAAAAAACAGAAAAATTGAAATCTATCTACTGAAGATGTTCTTCTTATGGTGATGCAATGCTACTTGTACCAAGTTTTCAATGAATAATGTAACAGTTATGAATATTAAATTATTTCAGTCTGACACAGAAATGAAATCCACAGCAAGCACACTTCAACTACGTCTTCTTGAAAATAAATCTGTGGGAAAGACGGTCTAACTTATTTATTTCAGCCACTTCAATAGTGTTGCAGTTAAATCAAAAATCCTCTTGATCCTGACGTAGTGGTTTCTACAGTGACCAAAGACCATGTCCTAACTACCAGTAGCCTAGTCGGCAAGAAGTGTATTTGGCCAGCACTCATTTCCAAAACAGAAACGGGCAATAATCCAATTACAGATAGGTCAATGTCAACTAAGTCTAGAACGTAGCTCAAGTTCACCCCTATGTCTGTAACAAGATATCTTAATGGCTCTTGATGGCAACTACAGAAGATACTCTGCTACTCAATCCTCTCTTTTGTGCTGTATAATTCTAGTAATTTTTCAGTGAACACTGATGTTTTACAGAAATTCCAGTTCTGTTTGAAATTCAGCTCAAAACCAAGTAATTCAGCAGATTTTCAGCTTAAAGTGAAGTACTATAAAGACACAGTTCTCTTTCAACATCAAATTGATGCTCTACAACATAAAGCAGAGTGCAGTAACATAACACCTATCACATAATCCAATGACTGTCACAGATGAAGTTATTAAAGTAACAGGCAAGTCAAGTTAATTCTGAGCATGCCTAACAGTATAAAGTTAGGGAAAGGGACAGTTCAGCAGATTAATTTTATTCTTTCACAACAAAAGATACAGATGGCAAGATACAGACAGGATAGGTGGTCTGCGAGATGGGTAGGAAATTGGCTAACAGGCTGCACTCAGATGGTGGTGATCAATGGTTTTTACTCAGGCTGCCAGCCTGTCACAAGTGGGGTCCCCCAGGGATTGGTACCCACGCTGTTCAACATCTTCATAAATGATCTGGACGATGGGATTGAAAGAACCCTCACCAAGATTGCTGATGACACCAAACTGGGTGGTGAGGTGGACACGTCAGAAGGAAGAGCCTTCTTACAGAGAGACCAGGACAGGCTGGAAAAGTGGGCTAGAAAGAACTATGAAGTTTAACAAAGACAAGTGCAAGGTCCTGCACCTGGGACAATATAACCAAAGAGCCCAGTACAGACGAGGATCTGTGTAGCTGGGGAGCAGCTGAAAGGGACCTGGGTCTTGGTGGACAACCAGCCAAACATGAGTCAGCAGTGTGGTGCCACAGCAATGAAGACAAGTCAGATCATGGGCTGCATCAGCAAGGCATTACTAGCAGAGATAGAGATGTGACCATCCCACCCACTGTACTCAGTGCTTGTAAGGCTGCAGCTGGAGTACTGTGTCCAGTTCTGGTTCCCACAAATCAAAAAAGACACGGACAGACGAGAGACTGTTCAAAGGAGGGCCACGAAGATGATCAAAGGGCTGGAGAACCTGCCCGATGAAGAAAGTCTTAAAGAGTTAAGGTCTTTTCACCCTGGAAAAGACAAGGCTCACGGGGACCTCATCACAGTTTTCCAGTACTTAAAGGGCAGCTACAAAGAAGACATAGGTTCTCTCTTCACAAGAAGCCACACGGAGGGGACAAGGGGCAATGGGTACAAGTTGCACTGGGAGAGGTTTCATCTTGATGTAAGAAATAAATTTTTTACAGTGAGAACAATCTACCAGTGGAACAACCTCCCCAGGGATGTGGTGGCGTCCCCCATCACTGGAGGTTTTCAAGACACAGCTGGACAGGTGCTAGATAATCTCATCTAGGCTGCCTTTTCCACAAAAGGTTGGACCAGATGATCTTTGGAGGTCCCTTCCGACTTGGGCTGGTTTATATTTGAATCTCATTTTTCTTATTATATTATTTCAGTTTCCATTAGAAGTTTTGTAAAAAATTTCTTGAAACATAGGCAGTATAAGAAGTTCAGTAATCATAAGCAACCATGTGAAACTGAGTGGGAAGATCATTAAAGAACAAGTACAAACTTTAAATCGCCATAGGGCTGTAAAAAAACCCAACAAAACCACTAACAGAAAAGTATGAACAGACTATTGCTACTGTGACTTTAATCAAATGTGTGGTACTAGAGACACTGAACATTTATCTTCTTCAATGCCAACACCAGAAGTACTTGTCTCATCTATCTCATCTATCCACACAAAAATAAGAGCAGAGCAGATGTTGATTAATGCCACAGAGTACAGTATTGTTCCAGAAATTAGATACTTTTTTTTTCCAATTAAATAATGGGGTATCCTATCAAAATAGGTCACTGAGTCCATACCACTGCAAGTGGACACAAAGTAAAAGGACCAAAGAATTTTTACACAGTTACATAAGTACTTGAAAGCGTACACCCCTTTGAAAGTAATTTTTGAAAAACCAATCCTAAAATACTAGATAAAGCCAAGGAAAGAGTAATGGACATAGGCACACAAATCTTGGCACAGAAACCATTTCCTACAGTTACATCTGGCCCTCCATGAGGATGCATTTGAAACAAATTGCCTAGCACTGCCTTCTGGTAGCATCTCACAACTCAGGAACCCCTATGTCAGATAGGAGCTGTATTTTACTATACCAAAAGATTGAGGGTAGGTCTCCATGGCATGACACAGAATTCACAGATGTATTTAAACTAGTGTTGAACAAATGACAGTGAATATTGGAGAAAGTACAGCCAAGCTGGTGCCATTCTTTGCGGTAACTAAGTTGTAAATTAAAAATATCCCTTGCATTTGCTGCTGAGAAATTCCTCTGAAGGATATACACCTTTTACATACCTTCTTCTTGTGAGGACTGCATAGAAAATTTCATATGCAGCAAGAGATCTACTACCCAGTCCAGAGGTTTAATAACATCATTGAGGGGAAACTGGTTACAATATAACCATTCAGCAAATTCCATCAGATAATCAACTTTCTGCCATTCATTTTCTTGTTTCTGTAACAGTAATAAAGCAAGAGTTCATTTATATTTGGTGATGTAAACCATAGAAATTATATTCAAAAGTTCAATATAGTCTTAACAGAAGCAAAAAATAATCATTTGACAGTAAGCAGTTTTATCGGCATCACATAATCAGAGTTATGCTAAACAGAATGTAACAGAAAACTCTACCAGTTAATTCTTTGCTTTATCAAAACTTCTTGCAATTGGCTACTCTTAGACATTTTTCTTTGACAGGACTCAACTGAACTTTTACTGGATACCAAGATTCAACCATACACAGTTTTCCAACTGAAGAGCAATTTCGAAGTTATAAAAAGTAATGGTCAAGTATATGGCCTTCCTACCAGTTCAATTATATACTTCACAGAACTTGCAATCCCATGAATCACTTGAGAAACATCACTCCATCAGCATTTGAACATATAGTAAAAACTGACAAACCTGTAAAGCAATAATTGCATTTTGAAAACAGCTTAACTGTCCAACAGCACTTCTGGAGACTGTTACCAGATGACGCCACATACGTGACAAATAATCTTCACTTTCACCTCTGAATTTCTGAATGTCCATCATAAAATTGCATCCCAATCCTGCCTTCACTGTAGCCATATGTTTAAAAATCAGGCTAGAAGAAGACCAAAAAAATTGCAAACTACTTGCATCTGTACCTGTAAAGTAACTTTGTGAGTAGGATAGATATACTAGTTCATATCAGTACAGTACAGAGATGTAAAGTTCATAAACTGACATAAAAGGGCATAAATCTTTGAACTCGGATAAGACTATGTAAACAGTACCCTAGATAATTTAGTTTCCATTTAACATAAATGGTTTACAGCTAGGAAAATTAAAGCTTCTGCTATATAGCCACATTTCATGGCCTATTTTCTTGGAAAAGTAAGATACTACTTATATACAAGTTTTAAAAAAATGAAATTTACAAATAATACGAACAGATTAACTATAAGAAGCACTGCCAACATACGTCTTTTTTATTGAAAAGACACAACAGTGTTTTCTAAGAACTGACAAGTTGACAAAAAGTAATCAATATTTTCCCAATGCAAAATAAAAAAAATACTCAGAGTTTTATACTTCTCAAGAATCAGGATGCTTATTTTAATAAAAATAAGTCAAGCAACTTACAGCCTGTGTCTTGTCTGAGGCAAAACTTGAATAGCTTCATCCAGGACTTTTAGTGCTGTCTCCCAATCAGCTTTATCAGCATATATGTGGAATAATAACCCATATAGGGAGGTTCTTAATGTCAGATCTTCCTCAGCACCTTTGAAGTATATTCAAATGATTTATTAATATACTGCAGAATTAGAATAATGATATTACAAAATACTGGGTGTTTTTTTTATTACCAGATCAAAAAAAGGAAGAACATGCCTGGTAGAAAGCATCCAACTGATAACCCAATACTTTGAAAATCCTTTGTAATCCACTGATGCAAAGGCAACGTATCTTTCTTCTCCTAAAAACACACAAAAAAAAAAAGCAAAAAAAAAAAGAAAACAAAAGCCCTTTATCTTTCGGTTAACATATGTCTTTAAGTATTACTGTACTTCTGTTTCATTTGTAAACCAATTAATATGGTTAATATGAACTATTAACCTGTTACTTAAATAGCTACTTGTGCAGGAGATGAAAACCACAGCCATTTCTCCAGAATGAGTTCTATAATGCAAAACCAATACAGCACTAACCAGACTCAGTAATATTCAATCAGTTACACTGATTAAATAACATGAAATCTTGAAGTCTCTGTCAGAGAATCACAGAACAGTTGAAGTTGGCAGGGACCCTCTGGAGCTCTCTAGTCTACACCCTTGCTCAAAGCAGGCTGAAATAGAGCAGGTTGCTCTGGGCCTTGTTCAGTCATCTTTTGAGTACTCCAGGCAGAGACTCCACAACCTCTCTGGTCAAGAATGAGTAACAGCTTATTTTTTCAGGCTATTTTCAGATCGTTTTTAATTATGACTTAATGTCTCTTGTCCCATTTTGCTTAGCTGGCTTTACCTGTGAAAATTTGACCATCACAATTCTCACCCAAAGGTGAGAGACATGATAACTGTTTCCCTCCCCTCTACAGCACCGTTTTGCAACTTCAAAGATAAATTCACTATCTTTTTTCACAAATAGATCCATATACATTTCTACTGATATACTGACCACTGAATACATAAAGGACTATGGTAATAAATCATCTGATCTGTAGCTACAACTTTTGTGTAATCATTACATTAGCATCATCAAAGATTTATCAGATTTGGTCAAAACAGCATTTACTTCCATGAAGGCACAAAGTCCTACTAATCTAGTGGCCTTCTACGATGGAGTGACTGCATCAGGGGACAAGGGAAGAGCTATGGATGTCATCTACCTGGATTTCTGTAAGACCTTTGATACGGTCCCCAGCAACCTTCTTGCTGCTAAATTGGAGAGATACAGGTTTGATGGATGGACTGTTAGATGGATAAGGAAGTGGCTGGATGGCCATGTCCAAAGAATTAGTCAATGGCTCAATGTCCAAGTGGAAACCAGTAATGAGTGGCATCCCTCAAGGGTCCATACTGGGACCAATACTGTTTAATATCTTCATCAGTGACACAGACAATGGGATTGAGTGTGCTCTCAGCAAATTTGCTGATGACACCAAGCTGAGTGCTGCAGTTGATTCACTAGAGGGAAGGGATGTCATCCACAGGGACCTTGACAGGCTTGAGGAGTGGGCCCGTGCAAAGGGCCAAGTGCAAGGCCAAGTGCAAGGCCCTGTACCTGGCTTGGGGCAATCCTCAATTTCAGTCCAGACTGGGGGATGAATTGAGAGCAGCCCTGCGGTGAAGGACTGGTGGATGAAAAACTGGACATGAGCTGGCAACGTGTACTTGCAGCCCAGAAAGCCAATCGTAACCTGGGCTGCATCAAAAGAAGCGTGGCCAGCAGGTCGAGGGAGGTGATTCTCCCCCTCTGCTCTACTCTGCTGAGACCCCAGCTGGAGTACTGCACCCAGTTCAGGGGTCCCCAGTACAAGAAAGACAGGGACCTGCTATAGCAGGTCCAGAAGAGGGCCACAAAAATGGTCAAAGGGCTGGAACACCTCTCCTATGAAGAAAGGCTGAGAGAGTTGGGGTTGTTCAGCCTGGAGAAGAGAAGGCTCTGAGGAGACCTATTTGTAGACTTTCAATATAGAAAGGGGTTTTACAAGAAAGATGGAGAAAGACTTTTTACCAAGGCCTGTAGTGACAGGACAAGGGGCAACGGTTTTAAACTGAAAGAGAGTAGATTTAGATTGGAAATAAGGAGGGGACTTTTTATGCTGAGGGTGGTGAAACGCTGGAACAGGTTACCCAGAGAAGTTGCAGGTGCCCCATCATTGGAAGTGTTCAAGGCCAGGTTGGACAGGGCTTTGAGCAACCTGATCTAGTGGAAGATGCCCCTGCCCATGGCAGGGGGGGTGGACCAGGTATCTTTAAAGGTCCCTTCCAACCCAAACCATTCTATGATTTTATGATTCTGTGGAAGTAACGTGAGGGTAAAGGACAGCTTCAATCTGACCACAGCAAATTGAGAGAAAAACCAATCTGTAACCTTGTTTTAAGAAAGCTAGAAATAGCAGTGGTAAAGTACTTGCTTTTACTTTTTTTTTTTTAACCCGTTTTTAGTTTTCAGGCTGGTACATATCTCAAGTAAGTGAACCATTGCCTTGCTGAACTAAACTGAAAAGTTATCTTCTGGTATATGCTTCTCCACATGTGATTGCATTTAAAAATTGCCTAGAGTTAGCCTGATCAAGGATCACTGGAGACCAGTTCCAGCCTCTTACAATGGTTACTACAGTATATCTAAAAAAATTCAGTAACTCTGGAAATAATCAAATATAGAATGCTCTGTTTGTAGGAAATATTTTTTTCAGACAGAAGAAGTCCATGCTATCTACAACTGTATACTTTCATTATCTACATTAATGTCTTGCTTTTTAATACAACTTACTAAGGGTTCACTCTGAAAATACGCTATTAACTATACATACATAATGGAATATTCCTTTTTATTGGTTTTAAATATATCATCTCTGCAAACAACTAAACCTTTAGAACTGTGCCTATGGGCTATTACTGTCATATATCCAAACACTGTCAAAGTTCCATTAAGTTTACAGTCTTCACTGCGCTTCGAAGTACACAGTGTACTCATCAGTTCTGTCTCCTACACACCCAGAATCAAGCAGACCAGTCACCATCTCTGATTATTTGTGATTTATACATGGCTTGAGCAGAAAGCAAAATTAAGTTTTCTATTCTTGTACTACACTGCTTGATGATCTGAGATGCAGACTCACATTGGTACCACTGAGCTTGAATGCAAGAGTTAATAAAAGGGTTAATAAACCCTCCAAGCTCTACTTGAAATTGTGCCCATGGAAATGCACAGGAAAACTCACATCAGCTTCACTGACATGTAAATCAAATCTAGAAAGAGAAATGGATCAGCTCTGGGGAATTTTGAAGTTAAGAAAAGTTGTATATATGTAGGGATGTTTCAATGTGCAGAAGAAATTTCATATTGTGAGATGTGTTATATGATACACATCACCTACACATTGTTTCAAAGGGATGACTCCTTCAGTCTACACATGCTGTTCATAACCAACAAGTATTTAATTTTATCACTGATTCCCAGCACAGTTTGAATTATAACTCCTTCCTACTGCCAAAGTGCTAAACAGTCTGTTAAAAAACTGAAGATAACAAAGTAAAAATTCCTTTTTGGGTAGAAGAGAAGTGGGGAACCTTAATTTATTTACATTTTTTTTCCTGAGTTTGTGTTTTAAGATCTATTATCCTTTCTGGAAGTGACAGATTTTTTTTCTGGATTTTCTTTTGAATATTTTCTAAACATTCCCTTTTGTAAGCTTCACAAAGTGAAACACTACAGCCCTTCAGACAGCAAATTGTTTTGAAGAAAACTGTTGCAAGTCTGACAATTGCCTAAAACCAGAAGAATCACCAAATGGAAAAAAAGAGCATGTGATTCCCTGTATGTGTGAATGTCTGCTATGAGAATGCAGGTAAGAAACGATATATGTGTTTATGACAAATAAGTCACTTTCCCCTCTTAGGAAAGGTATCTTGAAGTATGCACCTAGAGCTTCAGAGCAAACCAGATTTTTTCTTTATCATCACTACCAATCACTAAACACAAGCACAATTAACAATACCTATTAGATATTCTTACCTGTTCATTTTTAGATTCTGCTTTAATTATATTCTTAAGAATTATTTCAGTAGGTTCTTTAAACTGCTCTCTGTCATGTGGAGAACCCAGCAAAGGTAAACATGTATTCCAAAAGTGTCTAGCTGCAAACATTACAAGGGAATAATTTCCAGCTTCACCTGCGTACCTGAAGAAAGTGAAGTACAGCTTAATGAAGGAAAACAATCACACTCTAGCCAAAATAAAGGATTTTACTTCTACAAACATCTGGGTTTACTTGATCTAGGCACCACCATATATAATCTCAGCAATGAAGGGTTAGCATATGAGCTTCATACAAAAGGTATTTTCCATTTTTATATACAAAACACTTTCACACATTCAGCAGAAGTAGCAATAAACAAGTACCATATTGATGGTTTTACTGTATTTCTGTGTAATCTTAGCTCAAGAGCCTTCATTAAGAAAATAGTAGAAGTCTACTTGAGATGTTCTCATTGGAATAATCTACTTTTTTGGCTTCCTATTATGTTAATTTCTCATTCTAATAACATTACAAAATAGAACAAGACAATTATTAAAATGCTATGGATTTTGCATAGTACAGTACCACTGTAACACAAGAATATACCCAGAATGCCTCTAGCTGCATTCAAATTGTTTTGAGCATATTCCATGCAAATGTTATGTTGAATTAATAAAATTTAATAATTCTCCAGATTGTGATACAACACAGTACTCATATGAGTGAGCAAAAGCTTTAGAATTTAGCTAAAAATTATGGATTGGTATTAAACAATCACCCATTGAATAGTTTCACTATTTTACAAAAAGTAGGTTTTGAATCTGGCGATCTTTATCATTTTCTCACAGTTTCATGATTTTTAGAGTTAGAGTCCATATGCTCACATACCTTATGTCTTAACACTAGACTTATTAAGGCCTAATTTTTGCTCACCACTTTTTGTTTCCCTTTTGGAATGTGTTGAGCTATATATATATATATATATGCACAATCCTTCCTGAAAAAGTGCTTGTCATAACATGCAAATCTAAAAAAATACAGATTCATCCGCAACGTGACATGACCTTAGAGTTCTGTTACACTGGCTAGTCTAACTTCATTCATCACTCTCTTTTTAATGATCAATGGAAGGAAGAAAGTATTACAATGTTAACAGCCTCACATCAGCCATCACATGCTCATCTTCTAAGAGTTCTAATTGCCTACTTTTGCTCATTAATTTATTTCTTCCAAATAGCAAAGAACTCATACCAAAGTCATGCAGCATTCATGTATCACCTTCTCCTGCCTATTCATTATTTAAATCAATCTTTCTACTTTGGGTTCATGACATACAGTTAACAATATTAATATGATGCTCTGCAACAGTAGAGGCTGAGGACTGACTGGCTGAGGAGTAGCTCTGCTGAAAAGGACATGGGGGTCTTGGTGGACAGCAAGCTGAAAACCAGCCAGCAGCATGCTCTGGCAACAGCAGCATCCTGGGCTGTATTAACAGGAACAGACAATAGATTGAGGGAATTGATTATCACCCTCTAGTCAGCACTCTTTAGACCACATCTAGACTACTGCATTCAGTTCTAGGCCACCCCAACACATGCTAGACATGGACAAACTGCAAGGAGCTCAGTGGAGGGCCACCAAGATGATCCACGGAGTAGAGCACTGGCTTGAGAGGAGAGGCTGAGAGTACAGGGCTAGTTCAGCATGGAGAAGAGTTGGCTTTGGGGGACCTAACACAGAGAAGTTTCTTAATAACCTAACAAAGTTATTGAGAAGCAGCAGACAGGCTCTCCATAGTGGATGGCACGACAAGCAAGAACGGGCATAAGTTGAAATAAGAAAGGTTCAGAGTGGATACGAGCAGCAACTTTTCCCCCATGAGTACAGTCAAGCAGTGGAGCAGGTCACTCACAGAGGTCATGCAGTCTCTGTTCCTGGAGGTTTTCAAGACCAGACTGGATAAAGCCCTGGGCTGGCCCTGCTTTCAGCAGGAGTTTGGACTAGGGACTGGATAAAGCCCTGGGCCGGCCCTGCTTTCAGCAGGAGTTTGGACTAGAGCCCTTCTGAGGTCCCTTCCAACCAGATTTTCCTATGATCCTATGACCCTATGACATTACAAGATCAGCTATGTGGAAGATATAGTACTTGATAAATTTACTAAACTGTAAAAATCTGTCAAATCCTTTGCTAAGCATTTCAACTCACAACTACTTTGATTTTTATCAGTCTTGGGAGAGAATACGTTGATCCCCAAATCTGTAAATGAAAGCTTAGGTTTGTTTTATATTAGTCTTCTCTCAAAATAAAACATACCTGGCACTCTGAACAAAGGCTTTTGACGCTGCTACACGCAAATGTTTTCTTCCAGACAAATTTTCCATTATAATCTTTCCTTGTATACAGGCAGTAGTGCTTAACATTTCTTGTCTCACTCTGTTACTGAATAAAGGCAAATAATTCAAGAAGTGCTAGTCTTACAGTCTAAGAACATACCGGTTCCTATTAATGATGCTTTCAGATTGTTACTAAATAGATGTCCCTAGCTTTGGAAGTTGACTTTTCTTTTAAAATCAGAAAATATTTGAAAAACTGAACATTTTGTGAAAAGATATCAGAAATAAAGTATCTTTTTCACAGCTGTAATGAAAATAACTGTGAAATCAGAATTAAAAAATTATTATCTACATTTAGCAAGGGGAGAAAATAGATTTGGGATTTTCTCCCCATTATTCACTATTGTACATCAAACAAAATATTAGTCCAAAGTCAAACTTACATGGCAAGCAATTAAAAACAGAAATAGGGAAAATTAGACAATTTTTGATACTCTCTTTTGGAATTGGTCTCGCTTATGTCTGGTAAAGTATGCACCGGGCTTCGGAGAAATTGATTTGGATCATATTCCACTACATTTAAAAGAAAAGAATGTAGATTTCAGTCCCAGCAGTTAATCAGTTAAAAATAAATAAGTAAATAAATTTGATATCTTTGGTTAATAGGGATTTTGTAAGAAAATAAGCAATACAATTTGCAAGATTTTTTTCCAATGTCTTAGTTAAAATGTGCAACCATACACAGAAACGTAGACATTCTAGTTGGTCTAGTTCCTACCCTGAGGTGAGGACTATCATGCAGTTATGATTTGTGTCCACGAGAGGACACCAGTGTTCTACAGTACAAGTTAACAACAAAAAAAAAAAGTTTAAAAAAAAAAATTAACCCTTCTTTGTCCTGAAGTTATGCTTTACCATGAGAAGACTAATTTTATCTTCCATTTCTCTGGAAACAGCATTGACAATCCATGACTACATTTCTTTCTCAAAGAATCAAACATTTTATCATTCACTAGTTTGCAGATTGCTGGATACGCAGCAAGTATTTTCTCAATTTCTGTAATGTTCTGAAACTATATATTTCATATTAAGATACCTTATTTGGGTTTACAGGTAGCAAACATGTAGCAAACAACCCATGTAGCAAACAACCATGAACTTCAAAGAGCAGAATATTTTTTTAAAAGAGAAATTATTTTTCAGAGAGAAAAATGAACAATAAATTATATCTGAAGTGTTTCACATGTTTATTTCAAACTTCCTACATTCCAACAAATTGTTACTAAATGGAGTGATTCCTTCCTCTTTTGATAAAATTACATTCTGTTTTTGGAGGAAATTATATTAAAAAATAGAAGGATCAAAGGATATCACCTTTTTAGAATAAAGGACTCCATCAACAGATCCGTTTATATACGAAACCTTTTTTTTCTTCTTTTCTTTGAGATCAAAGTTTTAAATTACCAGTTAAGTAAGACACTGGGCTTTTAAAGGAATGAGCTACATTCCTATTGCACCCATATGCATAGGTGGTAATAAAGACCATAAAGACTACCTGACACCAGAGCTTGGAATATAGTAGCTGCTATCACCTATTATCATTCACAGCTCCATCTTGTTCCAGGAACTGCATAGACCCTTTGTGTATTAGAGCCAGTTCAGCATTGGAAGCAATTTGCATCAGCAAAAGAACTGGAATAAGCTACTTCCTGCTTGGAAATTACAGAAGTGTGAAAAGACCGTGATTGCCAGAGACCATTTCAGAAAAGCAATGCTCCTCAGGAAGACACTCAAACGCATTTATATATGACCTGTTGACTCACTTGGATAACAAAATTCATCTGTCTTCCTGAACTGGGTCCAGAGCCACAATCTGGATCTCACAGTGCCTTTTACTCAGGCTGCGCTGCGGAGTTAAAACATCATCTGCAGTACTTAAGTAATTGGCAATAACAGAGTCAGCAGAAGTAGGAAAATTTCGCTTTCATCTCTAACTGTACAGTTTTTTTGTAAAAAAGATTCTTTCACTTTTGATTATGTCATCAGATGCATTTACCCTATATACTCTTTCTTCAAAACTTAGTTGAAGTATACCACAGTATCATGCAAAATTCCATGTACTTACATTTCATATTTCTTAGTATCTCTGTTTTGGAAAAATTTCTCATCTGATTGCAAGATCCTTTTGGAACAAGTCATTGCTATTTCATATTCATGTGATACATATGCAAAATAAGTAAGTCGTGTCAGTGTCTGCAATTCCACTAAGGAATCTGACCAACTGCATTCTAAAGCCAATTTCACTAACTGGAAAAAAAAAAAGGAAAAAAAAAAAAGAAAAAAAAAAAGAGAGTTTAAATCTCAGGTTTTTATCATGCTCTTTTCTATAGCACTTACATGCTTACAGCTGTATGTTCCATACAATCCACATGGACATGGAACAAGTACGTGATAAAACAATCTAGAAAACCAAAGAGTTACAAGAACAATCAAAATATACAATAGAGAAGCATCGTTCACCCTGTAGTAAGTATTATAATAGTATATGTAAATCCAGCTGTAAGTGTGCGTGCCTTTTGACCAGCACTATCTGCCAGGATGTATTACATGTCCTCAGTCCTCTTCTGAAAACCAGTGGAACAGGACTTCTGAAATTCACAGTCCATTTTAGTTAAGCCAAAGGTAAGAATGGGAGATAGAACTGGTTTTACAACAGTGTTTCATACATAGTTTCATTATAGGTTCTAAACGTCTTCCTTGCTTTTGCATGTGTCAGTCAGAAAGTTCCACTTTTTAAGATAATGGGAATTGTTAATGAATTGGTCAAAATGAGGATACTACAATACTGCTCTCCAAAACTAAGCCACTGAAGTAATAGCTAAAGCTAACTCATAATATTTGGCATAAATCTGTAGACCAACTAGAATTAGATACCCATAGATTTGTAAGGACACAGATCCTAAACTTTAGAAAGAAGGACTTCTACAGAAGTGTTAGAAAATGTCACCATATTCCTAGCTAAATGGGGAAATACGTCTTAGTCCTTTAAGAAAGCTCTTTACAGGAGGTAGAAATTATAAATGTGGTAATCCAACAGGTAAGACTACAACTCACTGTTTTGAAAATACAGGGTATAAACCTTTCTACACCACCTTTATTCCTCTTGAATAGCCTGGTAACCAACAGGATCACAGGAAAAGTGTGGCATTATTCAGCGTGAATAATCATGGAAGACTGATCAAAAGCAAGTACTTTAAGAAACTATGCCTCATATAAGACTCGTCAAAAAGCCACCTAATTCTTTAAATAGTAACAAATTGTAGTTGTGTTCTACCTTGCAACTGCCAAAAGTAAATTCACTATAACATGAAGTTTTCTGTTGAAATTCTGCATGCTTCCAATACAAACCCTAAAATACACCTCTCTACAACTACCTGAAAGGAGGTTGCAATGAGGTGGGTGTCAGTCTCTTCTCCCAAGTAACAAGTAATAGGACAAGAGGAAACAGCCTCAAGTTGCACCAGGGGAGGTTTAAATTGGATATTAAGAAAAAATTCTTCACTGACAGGGTTGTCAAGCATTGGAACAGGCTGCCCAGGGAAGTGGCTGAGTCACCATCCCTGGAGGTATTGAAAAGACGTGTAGATGTGGTGCTTAGGGACATGGTTTAGTGGTGGACTTGGTAGTGTTAGGTTAATGGTTGGACTTGATGATCTTAAACCTAAATGATTCTATGATTCTCTGAAGTTTTCTCCACCAAAAATGAAAGGTCAGAAGTATGGTTCCATTCAGAATTCACCTGAATCCATTATGCTCATCTGATGGTTATGGAAATAATCTGTTAGAGCAACATGGGAATAATTCTAATACTGGTATTCTAATGCTACCTGTTTTTTGGATAAATGAAAATATTCAGTCACAAAAATCTTCTACCTGTCATAACTATTCAATCTCTTGGGAAGTTTTAAAGGAAATAATGGTACAATAAAAGTTTCAGAATGAATTTTGCCTCCATCCAAAACTGAAACTGAAATCACATTTATACTACGCAATTTCTTAAAACTTGAGAGCTAATAAAAAATCTAAATACCTGAGATAAGCTAGGAACAGTGAAATCCATGAGACCCAAGCCATTACATGAATACATTTCTAGACCAACAAGAATTCTTGCCATAGGATTTTGTGCTTCATCATTATTCTAAGCAGAAATAAAAAATTCACATTAACAGATTTTTTTTTTTTTGCAAGTAAACATTATTAAGGACATTAATTGAGATGAAAAGGTAATAATAACTATGTTTGAAAATCTCAATTTGCATTAAGCAAGTCTTCCTCTCTTTATTGTGTCCTTAAAATGGGGGATTTTATGTATTTATTTATTTTTAATTAACAATGTGAACTCTGAACTACTACAGTTTCAACATTAAAAAAACAGAGCAACAATACAATGAATGTAAATTCCATATAATACTGAGGGATTCTAGTTTTATAGACATAATAAAATAAAAGGTAGGAATAAAATATTAATTTCCAACTTACTAGGTCCATATTCTATATATAAAGAGACCATATTAAATGTTGATATAAATATAGCTGATTTTTCTTAACATTTTTTAATGTAGCCATTTTATTATTTTAAATGTATGAATTCAAAACCAACTTTGTTATACAGTCATCATATGACAAAGATCACCATCATTATTCTTGGCAGCTAAAACCAGAAGGCAGAGTTAAGAAATGTAGACTCATTGCTACACCCAATGTGAAAAATTTGCTGTATTCCGTAAAGATTTATGGGAACTACAGCCAAAATGTATTTTCACATTGTATTCAAACATACAGAAGAAAATACACATTGATAATTTCAGTCATTATTAAATTATGAATTTAATTTTAATTTTCAAAGAAAAGTTTCAACATTATGCAGGATTTCAGAGAAATAATACCTCCTCCTCAGTCCCAAGTTTATATCCGATCTGCTGCTGATGTAACTGTTTTGCTTTCACCCATGTAGCAATGATCTGTTGTGCAGCAATAGGTACTGTTTCATTAGTTATGGTTCCAGTTGTCACATTTAGGGCAAATTCACAAATCTAAACACCAAGAAGAAGAAAAAAACTGAAACACAGGAGAAATGTGGAAAGCTCTTTGTATGGAACATGCCATCCATTAGTTATTTTAAAATTATTGCGCATGCATCTCTAAGCCTAACATCTCCATTAAGTCAACTCATATAGCAAATAGAAGTTACAGTACTCAGCCCCAGCTGGAAAGGAGCTTCAGTGTGCATTTGGGGAGGACCTGTGGCGGCAGGAACTGTAAAAGATGGTAGCTTATTTTTTGCAAAAATTTCTACAATTTAACTTATATGAATTGTAATATATGACAGCAGACCAAAAAAGACTACAAAAAACTGAGGGCTTTGTACCTCTAAGGCAGCTTTGATATCAGAAAGTCCACTGGGATCTACTGAGAAAGACTGGACAACATTTGCTTTTTCATGTTTCTTTGCTGCAGCTTTTCTGCTTCTGTCTGTTGCTGCATCTTTTTTTTTCTTCTCAGCAAGTTTTGGCTTTGGAATCCAACAAAGAATTAAGCCCCGAGCCAAAGCATTACATAACATCAATAAAATCTCAGTACTTCTGTAGAAGAACACAAAAATCAGAAGTGCATACTGCAACAGATATAAGAGGAAAGTAATAAAAGTTTATTACTTTCAAGTAATAAACTTTACTTAAAAATCTAGATTTTTCTTAGAAAGCAAAATTATGGATGTCATGAAGAATTTTCCCATTGGAAAAGCAGTTAAAATGGTTAAACAAAAAAAACCACAACCAACTTTCATAGTTTACACCATATTTTTTCAGCTCTTTCTATAATTGAAGCTTCTATTTCCTCACAGAAAAAAAAATCATATTTATGTCAGACAAACACATTTAAAATATAATTTTTTATTAGTGAGCTGCTATGCATGAAAATAATAACTATTTCCTAAAAAATTAGCCTAAGCCTAACCCCTCAGATAAAACCATTTATTTATTACACTGTATTACTCTTCATGCCAATCAACTGCTGAGCTGGAATTACCTTTTTTTTTTTTTTGAGAAAACACAAACTGAATTATGTCTAAGAGATTATTGCTGGTACATGCTAATATAAATATCAGAATTAATAAGCAGGTATTACCAGTCTTCATCTCTGCACAAACTGCACTTCAGTCTTTGTTCTCCAATACTGTTAAAAGAGCCTTCTTTGCTACTGGTCCTAACAGTTCACCTACTGCTAAGGTCACTGTCAATCATGTGCTAAAATGTCTAGGATTTTGTCCCACAGTCAGACTGACTTGAGCATCTCCTGTGTCACAGCCAATCATTCTCCCATTGCATTTACTACAGAACAGGATTTCTCTAAACCACTGTGGAATCTATGTTCCCATTTTCATGGTCTATAATGTGCACATTCCCTTTATTTTTTTTTTCTCTTTTCTCTTATATTTCAGAACCAGTAGTAACCACCTTACTCTGATTAGAAATATTTACAATGAACTATACTTACAATATAATTCAACTTCAGTGCAACTGACAGTAAGCAAACGCATTTCGAGCTGGCCTGCAAACTCACACACTAAGAAAATTTTCCTGATTCTTTCTGACTAGCTTAACAAAATGCTATTTCACATGCACATGTTGCTATTCCACAATGAAGAGAAACTAATATTGCTTAGTCTAAAGTTAATATGGCTTATAGTGAATAGTAACAAAGAACAAAGAGAAATGATTAAAAAGTCATTTTCACACCACAAAATTAAATTTATCTTCTGAACTACTCTGTATATACCAAAGTCCTTCCACTAATAAAAGCCAGCAATAAGAGTCTTTCAAAACATGAAGTGATTTACAATGTTTGTAAAAATATTTTTTCTAAGAAAATTTTCCTGATTCTTTCTGACTAGCTTAACAAAATGCTATTTCACATGCACATGTTGCTATTCCACAATGAAGAGAAACTAATATTGCTTAGTCTAAAGTTAATATGGCTTATAGTGAATAGTAACAAAGAACAAAGAGAAATGATTAAAAAGTCATTTTCACACCACAAAATTAAATTTATCTTCTGAACTACTCTGTATATACCAAAGTCCTTCCACTAATAAAAGCCAGCAATAAGAGTCTTTCAAAACATGAAGTGATTTACAACGTTTGTAAAAATATTTTTTCTGTTTTAGAAAAAAAAGAGCACATTCATAACCAAACATCTAAGTTTACCCATTATGCCCAACTGTCTTGACGGCTCCAAGAAGAGTCTGCAGATAATAATTTCCCTCTGTCTTCCTGAAGAGATAAGATGTCTATTGTAGTTTATTTAATACACCACAGCATTGTGAACAATCCAGGCTTCATTCAATTCTTCTCCTATCTCGGCTGCACGTTGGAAGTTTTCCATAGCGTACTGAGATAAGTAGTCTATCCATAAACTATAAAATTAGTATAAAGGAGCTGTTATTCCAAAACTTCAACACTAGAAGGACTTACATCGCAAGGTTAAATATGCAGTAGTACATCTCAATCAACAACAGTAAAATTTTTTTAATTACTCTTTAATCACACCACAAAATTAAATTTATCTTCTGAACTACTCTGTATATACCAAAGTCCTTCCACTAATAAAAGCCAGCAATAAGAGTCTTTCAAAACATGAAGTGATTTACAACGTTTGTAAAAATATTTTTTCTGTTTTAGAAAAAAAAGAGCACATTCATAACCAAACATCTAAGTTTACCCATTATGCCCAACTGTCTTGACGGCTCCAAGAAGAGTCTGCAGATATGCAATAATTTCCCTCTGTCTTCCTGAAGAGATAAGATGTCTATTGTAGTTTAAGATATACACCACAGCATTGTGAACAATCCAGGCTTCATTCAATTCTTCTCCTATTTTGGCTGCACGTTGGAAGTTTTCCATAGCGTACTGAGATAAGTAGTCTATCCATAAACTATAAAATTAGTATAAAGGAGCTGTTATTCCAAAACTTCAACACTAGAAGGACTTACATCGCAAGGTTAAATATGCAGTAGTACATCTCAATCAACAACAGATAAATTTTTTTAATTACTCTTTAGTTACATTTATTAAGTCTTCATCCATTAACTTATATTTTACTTGGATGAGAAGATGACTCAGGAAAGGAATTAGTTTCAACATAAAATGAATAGTCTCTGACACTCAAATGCTATTAGCTTAAAAAATAGTGGCTTTAGTTCATGCTTCATCCACATGGTTTTTTACAATGCATGTGTGAATCCACACATCAGTGCTAGAAAACATTACATATCCGTGACAGGGCTCTACTTGAATACAGATGCAAGTAAGGCATTCAACTCAAGTGTTAAGGAGGAGTGTTCTTCACTTAACAACTGCATGTGTTCTTGCACTCAAGATATCTCCAGATGTTCTGAAATGCTAAATTAATTTTTAATAGAATAACATCTTTTTCATAGTCCATGCAATAACTTTCTTTCAATAACTTTATTTCTTTTTTTTTTTCTTATCGAGATGTACCATTACTTAGAAAAAGCAATATTAAAAATACAGTCTTGAATGACCATACAGAATGGCCATGGTTAAGTCACAAAACCAAAAGCACAAACTGACACAGGGTATTACTATGTCAACAATGGTACAGGACAGAGTAGATCAAAGTGCTTTTTGCCTACAAGTTTTTAATCTAATTGGATACACTCAAAAACAGCTTAGCAGCAACTTCTGGAACAGAATCTTCATCTTTGTCCCTTGGTTCTGATCAGTTTATACTTTTTCCTGTTTTACTGAACATTTGCAAGCAGACAGTGTGAGAAACTTTACTTAATCTTCAGACTTAATGAACAGACTTAGGGACACAACTCTGACATCCTACTCTTTCAGGACATGACCACTGTCACAATAAGGCTAATATCAGTATGAATGTGAACAGAAGAGAGTTTAAACATCATCTTCAAATTCTCCCTCCTCTCCTCCTTCACAAGAAATAATCGCGTGAGACCAGAAAAAAAAATATACTTGCTATGTTCTACTCTCCCTTATTCATTTCAGTTGACTGAATGGAACAGACTGGTTTTGCAAACTGAAGTAATTCATTGTATGTATTCGGGTACTCAGACATCATTATAGTTATAGGAGCTATAAAGCCAGACAAAGAGTTTTTTGATTTGGGGAAATATATTTTTAAATACAGAATCTCATGGTCTAAATGTCAATATAACACAGATTTAATAGTTTTTAAGGTTGGGATACTAGCTTCTAGTTTCAGAGAAATAAATGTTAAATGAAAAATAAAAAGAATACTCCAGAATGAAAGCAAACTAAAGAAAAATTATTTCAAACGATTTTTTTTAGATTCTTTTCCTTTTCCCATTACCATGACTACCTAAAAATATGAAGCATCTAGTGACAATGAATTTTACTAAGAAGAAATAACTTTTGCAATTATCATCTGTGTGTGATAATAACAATCTGCTAGAGTTCCTAGGTCTTGTTATATATTAAAGAAAAGCACCTGTATGTTTTCCATTCTGGATCACTTTCAGGAAGACATGAAACATATCCTGGATGATACTGGCTTGTATCTTCTGGAGGTACAGCATGATCATTCAGTTCAATTCCCTGCAATCTTAATAAATGAACAGTTGCCTGGAAAGATACAGAGAAATAAATTTTCTACCCAGGTTATCATTGTGAAAACAGACTGTGACTTAGTATTAGTGTTGTTACCTCTTCAAAAATTAAAAAATACAAAATGCTTTCCAGATGTTGTACAGGTCTGTACAACTATATGAAATACAATGTAAAATACTTCATAACCTTCCAATTGTCTACAGCTAATTTTACTAAATAATTTCATTAAGAAAAAAATATATCTATTATATAAATATATATTTTTTAATCATGCTGGAACTTTAAGGATCCATAAATGTGTCACACATCAAACATTTACAATAGAATCCCTTGTAAAAAAGTGTTATCACCACCTGCAGTGAAATTATTGCTATAATTACTTTCACACGGTATTTTGATAAAGATGCTTCATGAAACTACTACTTCCTTTAGTTCCTGTGGAGATAGACAGGATTAATTAAACTCAAAATTCCAGTGCTTTAAGATTTATACATAAAATCATACATAAAACAAAACTAAATGAAACAAATATGAAATACAGCTGTGTAATTTATTTACCTCTGCATTAATGAATCTTATTTCTGCTAATATTCTCAGTAAATCTCTTTCAAAAGAGAAGGATTTAGCAGGTAGTAATGATTCTCCTGGTAAGCTGTCACCTTGATCATCATCCATCATAGTTGTACTAGCTTTCTTCTTCTGTGCTAAAAATAAATAAATAAATAAAACCATTATTATAACTATGCAAATCAGAAAAAAACCCACCTTCATTTTAAAATTTAAAATTCCCTACACATTCTTAAATCTACAAGAAAGAGTTAACAAGTACAGACTTAAAATTATTTCACTCCCTTTTTTTTTTTCATCAGTACAATTTATTGCACTCAAACCCCATTCTTCTCAAGCAGTGCTGAGGTATTGGTTACCTGTGATTGTGCTGCATTTGTGCATAAACTTCAGTATTTGCAGCAAATAACTTGCTCCAGTCATAACATGCATACTGAAATTACATTAATATGAATATAACCCATAGCCTCTAGTTCAATTTTATTGCTTCAATGGAAGTGGAGCACTGGACATTATGTAGTGGCTAAAATCTCAGTGTTTAAATCATGGATGGGGTTGACTTTCTGGCAACATACACACCAATAAAGAGAAAAATAGCATTATTTATCTTTGGTTTAATAATGAAGAGAAAGGCCCAAGATTATTTTAATATAAATACAAAAGTAAGAGCATAAAAGCTGTCACAGTGGGTTCCCTCTACATTGTTGGCCAATGGTGGGTGTTTGAGGAAAGGCATAAAAAGTAGGATACACAAAGCTACTTTTTTTCCTGGCCTATCTTCACAGTTTTTCAGAATCTGCATCCAAGCAATCTCCTGAACCAGAGGTTCTGTTCGACCCATCAAGTTCAATACTCTTTGATAAATCTAACTTACTAGTCTTTGTCTAATTTTTTAAATCATATTCATTATTCCAAAATAACCTTTTAATTTCTGTTAAAAAGTAATGTTTTTATTTTCTTAAAACCTACAGTCTGATAATTTGACTGGATTGCTCCTGGTTCCTAGACCTATCACACGTATTTACTTTCTCCAGACTAGCCATGTTTCATCTTTCATCTCTTTTCCAAACTAAAGGGAAAAAGAAGTACTTACCAGAAACTCAGGGCAACCATGCACCAAAAGCATCATTAATAGGAACTGGTATGTTCTTCTTCTGTAACTCTAGAACGTCTTGAATTATTTGCCTTTATTCAGGCCTGAGAACCCAGCAAGCCTCTGTAGAGGGTCTTCACACCACAACAATTATCTTTGCCCTATCCTCAATATATATAAAGACAACCTTTCATTCTTCTCACCCACTAATCCTAGAATTAGTAATAGTAAAGAAAAATTAAGTTGTATATGAAAATGAACGGTGCCAGCAGTTCCCAGAGAACTCCAGCCAATCATAAATTTCTCTTCCTGCCTTGAGTATCTACAAGCTTATTCACATTTCATTTAACTACAAGTAGTATTCCCACAGTTGGAAACTGCCCGGAATAGACTACTTCAACTGCTCCACCAAATGCAGCATTGTTTCCTTTGCATTTACAGAAACATGCAGCACTCAATGAAAGTATGAATGGGTTTCCAGGAGGCCACTCTACAGTTCTTGAGAATGGAGACCTTCAGCAAGGTCACAGTTATTGTTTGATTTCTGAAGCAGGTCTACCTCTGAAAGCATTGTCCAACTTCAGCAACCTTGTAACAAACTTTGATTGAACCATTTGAAACACTTCTGAACGGAGATGTCTTGGTCTCCTGCCTACCCAGGAAACGTGTTTAGACTGACACAGATAGAATTTTAAAGCCCTGTAAACATTCAGAGCATGAGAAAGACACCTTTACCCTGGAGATGCAAAACTTGTGAAAGAAAAAAAGAACATACCAGTTCCTATTAATGATGCTTTTGGTGCATGGCTGCCCTGAGTTTCTGGTAAGTGCTTCTTTTTCCCTTTAGTTTGGAAAAGAGATGAAAGATGAAACATGGCTAGTCTAGAGATGCAAAACTTGTGAAAGAAAACAGGTAAATTAATGCCCTATTTTAAGTGGATCTTGGAAACAATCTAGAGAAAAAATGTGGAATAGGCTCAATTAACATTGGCTAGAGAAAAAAACTAGCCAACAGGGTGTATACTAGAATTTCATCTATTCTTAAATGTGAGTTTTACGAACTCCCAGGCAAAAAAAAACTTTAACAGAGATACGTAAAAGTCAGCAAGCAGCTAGTGGTTTGAAAGTGCTCTTTCCCGGAGTTAAGAACTCTTTTAACGTGTGTGGTAGGTTCTCAGCAGACCCTCAAGGAACAAGGCACAAACCATGTTGGATACCTCAGAGGAACCACTAGTAAGGGCATAAAGGGTAAAAAATGTTACCACATGAGCCTCATACAAAGTGACTGATAATCCATTTTTCTTCAGCTTCCTCAGGTAATTAAGTATGACAGAGATGGATAATACAGACCTAGATGACCATTAGGGAATGAACCTATTTTCTTAGATCGGTAGATACATCTCATGTAAGTACTTTTCTTTAGCACTGGTGAAACACTTCTGAAGGCAAAGTATGGTTTCAACAGAAAAATGTATTGACTGATTTCTAGATTCGGAGGTAGAAAGAATTTTCCATGTATGCCAAGACGCAGTGACAGACAAGAGTCTCAGGGAACTCTGGGAACAGGAGGGAAGAAAATAATAATATTGGCTGACTCCTTCAAGTAACTCTAATAAATGAGGAAAAAGTTCCTCTTACAACATTCAAAAGAATTTGTGCACTTACTTTTTTTAGGTTTTGTTACCCTCCTAAACAAAGTTTCATCATACAAGAGACAAAATCTGCATGCTGCACGGCAGACATCCCATACTTCTTGTTTACGTGCAACTTTTGCCAAATCTGCCCAAAGTATAATTCTACCAAAGAAAAAGCATACATAAAATTAATTTATAAGCAGGATTATCTTCCACACTTCAGGATCGACAAAAAAAATCATGTAAATGATGGCCATCATAAATAAAATTTTAAATCTAATAAAAATTAATAAAGGAAAGACTTCTTATCAGTAGCAAAGATAACACTATTTATTAATTTAAAAAAAAATCCCCTCAGCATATCAAGAGGGAACAAAATTCTTGTTTTGGATAGTAACTATACTGAAATTTCAAAATGTGTGTGACACCCCTAATTATCTATCTTATAAAATAAACTAAACTAAATATTTCAGAACTGATGTTGAGAATTTCAAAATAAGTCTTGAAAACAAGTTTGGATTTAGAATTTTTTAGAAAACAATTTAGTTTAAACTTCATTACAGGAATTTTTAGTGCAGCAAAAAAAAAGGAAACAACTCCTTTTAAATAAAGAATGATAAAATGATATACAAATAGTCAAAACAAAACCTGTGATTTTCCTACAGATTAATCTTTCTGACTCTCAGAATGGACTACTTCACTTCTTTATGAAAAAAGTTGTAGCATGCGATGTGGTAGAAGGACCTAATAAGACCCTTCAGCAGTTTCAATTGTGCAGCAAAAAAAAAGGAAACAACTCCTTTTAAATAAAGAATGATAAAATGATATACAAATAGTCAAAACAAAACCTGTGATTTTCCTACAGATTAATCTTTCTGACTCTCAGAATGGACTACTTCACTTCTTTATGAAAAAAGTTGTAGCATGCGATGTGGTAGAAGGACCTAATAAGACCCTTCAGCAGTTTCAATTGTACATCGTTATTCAGTCTTCCAGCCTTAATCCACTCGTTCTTCTGTGTGTTCAGTTCATATCAATAGAATAGGTGAGTTCATGTGTGTATGTGAAAGAGCGGATTAGAAACAGCGGAAGAATACAATTATGCATAGCATGTGAATGTAATGGAACTTTTCAGACATAAAGTTAAACACATGTTTAAATGCTCTGCCAGGTCTGACTGAAGTATTCAGCATCTTACAAGGTACCATCAAGTAACTTAACAGCTGCAAGAAGCAACTTTCCCATTAGAGAGACCTCTACACAAGACGAAAGAGATGCTTCTTGTCTACAGTAATTACCTCTCTCTGTCATTTTCATTTCTTAAGTGTTTCAAATGTTCATCAACTTTCTCCACACTTTTAATATGATGTTGTGCTTTTGCACGGAGGTAGCTTATTTGACTCCTACTTTTACCTGAGGAAACTTAGCAAAGAAAAAGGAATTTAAGGCAATTTTTAAGTGTTAGAGATGAAAAAATCCACATGAAGGGTATGCAGTTTGATTCATAACTACTTCCTGAAACACTTGAAATCCAGCCCTTTTTTCAGTCCTTCAAGCTTTCCCAAAACCAACCAACCATCATGAAAAAAACCACACCCCACCAGCATCTATTCTGTTTTTCCTATGTCGTCAGATATAGTTGTCCCATACAAAAACTGATTTATGCTTGTTTGGCCCCCAAATATCTCAAGTACACCTCTTTTCTGACAGGACATGCATTGCTCTAATTAGCCTCAGTTCAGAGTAAAGTGATGAAGTAATACATAAAGTTCACATTCATGCTGAATTTTAAGAACACTTATCAAACACATTTTCAATCAATATTGAAGTTTGCTGTTTTGTTTTAATTTGAGAATACTGACTTTTGTTTTACTTAGTCAACAAGATATTGGGCAAAAATATTAAACAAAGAAATAACCAACACAGAAAAATGATGCAAGGGAGGAATAAGCTGGCCCCCTGAGGTAGAAAATTACTCCAGTTGTACTGATACATCAAAAAGAGATTATTTTTGCAGTGTAATGACATAGACGAGATGCTTTGCATCAGAATACAAGCAACTTGATGTGACTGGGAAATCCAATGAGTTTGTACATCACTAAGTGATGGTCCCTACCATAATGCAGACTGAGTAAGTTTTAATTTGATCCTCAAAAAATTTGCCAAATAATAGCAGCAAATACATATAAACTATTTTGGGCTTTAAAATATATATATAAGCAGGTTCACCTACATTCACTTACAATGAAAAGAGTAGGCATAGTGTCTTACCATTCTTGTTAAAAATATTTTGCAATGCATTATCCAACATATGATAAGGCTGTGTTACCTAACTATACACATAGATCAACTGACAGAAATTGTTCAGTATAATACAGAATGACAGTAATATCATGTAAGGTTGTAGGGTAAAGAATTGTGGATTAAAAAAGTACATTGTTCTCTGGATCTATGGGTACAACTCTCACTAAATTAGGCCAGCATATACATCAAAAAAGAATGAAATGATGACACACAGTTATTTATGCAACTTAAAAGAAAAAATAACTCTACAAATCTCATGTCCTGTCCTATGTGTATTTTAATAATACAGTTGCATATATATTTTCTTACTCCTTCAATATACATGTTTAAGTTTGTTGCAACGTAAGTGTCATGGAAAAAGCAAAAAACTCACTCTTTGGATGACAGCCTCGGGAACAACTGAAATCTTTCAAAACAAAATTTTACAAAACTGTGTCAAACAAAGTATTGTAATAATTGTAATATTGTGATAATCTCACTCATTTTAATGGCTTATCTTGGAAGGCTAATGTGTAGTAAGATTCATTCTGAGGAAGTTTGGATATAATTTTACAGTTGACAACTCAAAATTCAAGAGCAAGTAGAAATACATGCATGCTTTTAATTCTCTTCACTGCACAAATACAATGCATTATATCACCTTAAATCATGTATGAAAATGTTTTCCAACAAAATAATTTTCACATACTTAAATGTACTGCACAAAGTGGGATTGTTGATTCTGTAAATAATACTCTTGTAAGTCATCAGCTGATCAAGTTTGAAATGAGAATGTGCAAGGTAAACACTTTGGCCTGGCTGAATAGATGGCATGAGAGAACTGTATGGCCTTCCATGGCACGATTAGGCTGCTTTGGAAGCTACAGGACTCCGTCTGTAGCATTCCCTTCCCCCAGCATCATCTCTACCGTGGGAGTACACTGGGTATACTCAGAAAGTTAGCTGAATTAGTCACACGCTTTCTTTATTGCAAATCTGGAAAATCTGTTCCCTGTCCACTCTTCCTCAACAACAGGCTGTATAGTCACAAACCAAAGCTGTTTGTGGCATAAGGAACATGCCTATTTATGATCCATGTTTTAGAAAGTAAATAATGACTTCATGCCTAAATCTCTGTGCAAAACTCGATCTCTCAAAAGCAAGATTTTAGAACAGAAAGACAATTACAATATAGAACGAATACCCAATATTGTATGTAATCAACACAGAATATTATGGGGTGAAACTTCTGAAAATACCACTTAAAACTGACCTTGGGCAAGAACATTCAGGACTTGCAAACAGTGAAAATAAAATTACAGCACAACTTACAGAACACTACAGCACAGCAATAAGATTCAGATGAATTCAGAGAGGAAAACATTAACATTTCCTCTTCCAGTATCACAATATAAATCTTAGATCCCTAATGAAATCGGTAGGAGCTTTGCCACAGAATTCAGCAGAACTGTCACTTCACCTGTACTGCAATATTCTCTACATGTTGCCACTAGATGTTATGTCCAACCTTTAAGACTGTGCAAAGCAGTCAAAGTCAAGTATAGTAACTTTTAGTCACACATACGTACATTACCTTTAGTTTCATTTTCACTGTCAAGGACTATTTGAAATGAATCAGGAGCTAGTGCAAGACCTGCATTTACCAGAAGAGACCTCTTTTTCCTCACATTATCCTTCTGCTTTCCCCTTTTAGCCTACGTAAAGAAAAGAACTAATTGTTGTAAGGTTCATTTTTATTATATTCCTATTTATATATCTTATTTACTAAACATAGCAGAATGCAGATCATAGAACTTGGTACTACCAAAAAAAACCCACAGGAATTATGTATCTTCATCTATCTTACACATCATTCTGCAGTATTATTGTTGTTGAAAGTGACTGTAGAACTTTGGTTGATCTTGACATGAATACATCAAAGATAACTGAAAACAAAGTACTGTTCATGCTCCTCATGGATCTTTACAGTATATTCCTCAGTGCATAACCTGTCATTATGTCATACTTTCTTAAATAAAGAACAGTATTTATTTAGAAACCAACAGTAACATATCCGTTGTGCAGTAACTAGGAATTGCTACAAAATATAAAAAATTCCTAGTCCACTCAGAATTAGCCAAAGTCAGAGGAGCTGTAAGTGCTTTTTTTAAAATAACATTTAAATGAGTAAGCTTGCATGGAAAAACATTAAAACTAGACAAAAAAATCTTTACTTTTCTTTGTCTTAACAATAGACATATCAACTCACCAGCAGTTTTCCAGTACCGATTTTAGGTTCAGTGAACACATCTTAATTTCTGTGAATGTCCCAAAATGGTGTATAGCTGAAATTTCTTTTAGCCAACTAACAATCAGTTGCCAATATGATTTTTGTTCAGGTGCTGAGGCACCACAACAGAATTAGATGCAGTAACTCTTAACAATGACTACACTGTGACTTTAGATCATATTATTTAACATCATTTGTAAGTATGACATAATACTGATTTATCTCAAAGTCAGCTAGGATGTTTAGCCATTTGGCCACTGCTCCTCTCATTAATTAAAACACTGTTCCATGCAATGAAATCTTAATTGTTGACAATTATAAATAGGCTTCTTTTTTGCTGATATTTTTGCTAATGAGTAACTTCCCGTCTCCCCCCCAAGAAACAAGCTTTGAACATAACTGGAAAAAATTCTCTATCGCAATCTTCAGAGTGTGAAGCAGCATGACCCCATAGAGAGAATTCAAGAGAGTTTTTCAAGGCATCCAACCAACGCCAATTTGCTGAAAGCAAGCTGATGCTGGCTCTACTAATATGCAGTTCTACTAAACAGCTGGCTTTCCTCTGCCAGAATTTAATAAGCAAACCTATTTCAGCTACTGACCTTATTCTTCATCATTACCTGTTCAATCATCATTACTGCCCGATCCTCTAGGCGCTCAGGTGACTTATACAGCATAGTGCACAAACGAAGACGGTTAAAAGTCAATCTTAGATGTTCTTGATACTGCCCACTGTTGTTTAGATGTATAGCTTTTTGCAAATGTTCCACAGCAGCCTCTATTCTATCCCCATCTTCTTCAATACGAGCTATTTCCATATGAACTTGGCAACGCAACAAAACCAACATGCTAAGGAATATGAATTTAAATGTAAACTGTTAAAATGAGGCAAACTAAAATTCTTAGACCCTAAAAATTACCCGAAAGTGAAACTCAATAATTAAAAGTGACTCCAGTATGAAAATAGATATTCCCTTTTTAACTTGTCTCTTTCATTTTCACTATCATGCCTTTTTAATAAAATAACTTAAAATTTAACTGCATTTTACTTCCATTAACCCTGCATGAGAAAACACAGCCATGAGGAAGCAACACATCTTGTAGACTAACTGATCTTTGTGTATTAGCAGAACTCTTCTTCAGTACCACACTGAACTTACCACTTAGGTATCCAAATCAAGTGAACAGATTTTCAAAAGTATTTATTAACTCCCAGAGAAAGTACGGTGTACTGGATAATGGCCCCTTTTGGTAACAGTTCACTCTCTGTTTGTAACATTTAAGTAGAAGCTAATACTTCTAAAACTCTAGCCCTGATTGTACTTGCTCACCACTTTTAAAGATTTGGTTCACCATAGGCGTACACACTCACTGTAGGCAGTGTCTTTGCCCCAGTGTTGCTGAAACCACATTATGAAGTCAGTATGTTTTCAGTGAAGACTGCCATGTTCTCCAGTCTCAGGCACACTACGCTCCCTATCCATCACCTGCCTCAGGAAGCTGTTCATGACAGCTGTGCGCTCTACATGCTACTTTAGATTATTTCCAGGAAGAAAAACAAAATATCAGATAAATGAAAGCAATGTTATGAAACATAGAACAGAAGGAAGGTTTTCAAGGCTATCAAATGTCATGCCAAAGAACTAATGTATGTCCACATTAGAGCTAACCTGACTGAGCAAGTATCACCCTTTTACTGCTGACCAAAGTAGTTACAATTAATGCTACAATCAAAACAAAAATGAAGACAGGCAAATTAATAGGGACAAGTGACTTCAGTCAATCTCTAGTGACAGTACCACCTCAGAGCTGATGTTGAGTCTACTGGATTGTTAGGAATACACGGATAACAAAAGCCAAAACCCTAACCCCCAAAAAACCCTAACCTGCAAGCTTTTAGAGAAAAATTGTCATTACTGACGTAGTATAAATATCAAAGTCACATATGCTGATATTGCACTCTTTATATGGAAAGCATAAGAAATGCTTAAATAACAGTACAGTAATACAATACAATGTTTTTATACATGAGTATATCTGCTTCTTCAGGCTTCTGTTTCCTCTTTATGCAACTAAAAAATTACATTTTAAAAACACTGAAAAGATACTCCTCACCTTCCTCTGTAATACTTTTATCAGAAACCACCTACCATTCTGCTCAAATGACAGATTATGTCGATTGTAATTAGCTCTACTACAAAAGTTATGATCTTTGTTCTTATTAGTCTGATATGTATAGGTCCAAACTTAACTAAGTACCACATACTAAGGTTTACTTGTTCCACGCAAATTAACGAAAAAGGTGAAGCTATTTAGGTGCTTAAGGTTAAGTACAGCATTAACAGCAAACAGAAGGATGTATCTACAATTTCTTAATACAGTAGGTTTTTCAATTAAAAAGAAGTATCACCAAAGATACAAAAATAGTATCTTGCAAGAAGTGTCTTATTTGATAAGTAATACAGAAGCCATGATGTTTTTTAAAAGTAATTTTTTAATTGTATGTTTTTAACCAACAAAAGTGATGTTAATACAAGCCTCTAAACCACATTCCAACACACTTACTCGTACTGCAGCTTTGGAATTTTCTCACATAATTTTGATTAACTATAGTATCTTTCAGTTCCTGGCAAATTTCAATATTTGCTATAGGCCATTAAACAGTGTGAGATTTTGCCTGAAAGGAACCTATATTTAAATGATTAATGAGGAAATGTACACAATAGGTAGACGTTAATTTATTACAAGCTAGTGGAAAATTTTTCAAGACTGACATCATAGAGCTTGAGCTTTTAAATGAGTTTGATGCTCGGTCATTAGACCTTTCAAAGTAACAAATAAAAAAGTACACAGCATAGAAAGTTACCTGTCAATCTCTTCAAGGACATTAGCAACTGATATCAACGGCTTTCGCACATGTTGATGCAAATTGTGTTGTAGTAGTGGTAAGCACAGATTCCACTGGGTTGTACAAACAACCTGAATCACATCAGGATCTCCCAATTGAACTGCATGTTTTAAGGTTAACTCAAGATTTTTTATCAATTCCAGCTGAGCCTACACAAATGAAAAATTAATTGGCATATATTGCATTTAATGGATACAACTTCTTACATGTTCCTCCAAATTTTAATCTTAGGGCTGTTTCCAACAAAAAGCAGTCCCTCAGCCAGCAGACTTCAGAAACTTTGTGGGTTTTTTAGTAATTTTAAAAAAATCATTTAATAAAAACTTTTTTTTTTAAATAGGCATTGACAACTAAGGAGTATTTCTTTCAGGTACTCCATGCTGCTACTACATATTTCAGGCAGAAGTCTGTCAGCTATTTCCCTTTCTTATTATAAACAGAAATTGATAATTGTGAAATATTTGTGAATTCAGAAGGCTTAGCTTCTTTTTTTTTTTTATACTAAGCTACAAATGCAGTGTAGGAGGGGAAAAAAAGAAATATTATGAATGGGATTTGCCATTAAATTAAATCTTGGTTCCTATCAATTAAACTTGGTTCCTATTAAATCTAAAAGCAAATCCTTACCTACAGTAACAGACACTTGCTAATTATTAGGTTCTTTTTAGAGGTTATGCGATTTAAAAAAAAGAAAAAAGAAAAAATCAAACAAAAAAACTCTCCAACTGCATACACTGTGGTAGGAATATTTAGAAATACCTAAATGTCTAAATATCCTATTTTTTATTTAAGTAGTATTAGCAGTGTTTCATATTATGAGGAATTAACGAAATTTTTTTTTCAAAAGGTGAATGGAATTTCAGAACCCCAAAATGAGAATGGGCATAGATAGGAGTAAGTTTATGCACTAACACTATTGATTTCCATGAAGCATATTCATACTTCCCATTTTAGGAACTTTAGGTGCCTCTAATAGCTATTCTAAATTGCCCATTGTAGGCATCTATCTAATCCCACTGATAATATTGACAATTTAGGCTTCTACTTTTGATGGTCTGAATTTTAAGTGAGTCAACTGACTATAGAAATCTAAGAAAATCCTCCTCAGTGCGACAATTTATCAGGAATAATCTGCATTTCTCTGACTTAAGAATTTGTATAAGATCGCCCATAACATGCAATAATAGTTGGGTTGGACTCGATGATCCTTATGGGTCCCTTCCAACTTGAGATATTCTATGAAAACACCTCCCATAAATGTAAAATATGAAAACAAGAGTGTTGCCTTTGCATTCCTCAATGCTACCATCTTTACTCTTGGAAGGTAATATATTATGAAACTTTATAGTCAGACAGAAGACTTAAGGAAGAAATATACAACTGTTGTTTATTTTTCCCTGTTTTCTTCTTGGCAGCCCAATTAGAAAGAATATAAAGTTTAAAAGAATTTCTGATCAGTATAATGTAATTAAGACACACAAGTCCAATGCAATTTTCCATATTTAACAAACTAAAACTTTTACTTTTCTCTCAAAATTAATGTTAAAGAACATACCTCAACAATTCCTTTGGTGTAAGTCACAATTTTAGTGCCAATTTTTTTAATTTCATATTCACATTCCAGGCATTCTATTTCAATAAGCTTCCCTTGCTCCTATGAAATATTAATATATAAAATGCTAATTTTAATAATTAAAAAGGAACACAATGAAGATTAAACCCATGCAATTACACTAATACAGCACTGTACTTTCTTACTGAAAATCCCACTGTACTAGCTAATTAACTGAAACAATAAAAAGGGAGTAGAATTTTGAACAGCAGTCACTTCTTACTAAGCCAAAGATGCAAAATAACTTTACCAGGATTTTTAAAGTTGTTCATTGCCAGACATTGCAATAAGAAAACCAGTGTACATTTAATTTTTCCTATATTGTAATTTAATTTCAGTTCTAGTAGATTCTTGCTCACTAACGTTATTAAAAATGTACATGCTTGGAATAAAGGAGAGCTAGTCAAGACAGAAAGGATTCATCTTGATGGGTAGTGCAACTTTTAAGTGAAGAAAGAGGTTAGATTTTTAACACCTCAGGAAAGATCTGGCTATTAAATCATACAAATTATATGTATGGATCATCTAAGATATTTTGTATTTGGTTTCATATGGTGCAGTAGGAAAATCCAGACAGCATCTCCATTCATCATTCATTATGAACTATTACCAAATCACGCAGCATGACCTTTGTTAATTTAACATCCCCATGACCGGAAAACAGATGAAATCTTGAAAAACTTAGATCAATGCACAACCCCCCCCTGCCACTATCATGTAATGACAAATACATAAAGAGATGGAATTCATGTTATGGCTGAGAAATCTGTCAGTATTTGGCAAAAGCCAAGGAACTGGAACTTGATATATATTTATCTCGCTCTACCACGAAGAGGTCACTGTCAAAACAATGCCGGGCAATCTGAAGATGGTCACTTAAACGCCCACTAACTCTAAGGGAGAAGAGAAGGTTAAGATAGAAGCAAGGCTTCTCTACTGCTGCTGCAGAAGGGATACTTGCTATTACTGTCTATACAAATACTCAAACTAAATCCTTGTGAATTTTTGATCTAGGGGATTTAAACACATCTTCCAGTGGAATGCTATGGAATTGTGTATGATTTTAGACTTGTGGGAAATTTTCAGAAAAAATGGGCCTGAAGCAGACACCTGGAATAAAAAAAATTCAGTGAGGATAAGTAAAATTTATATTACAAGTAACTCAAAGTAGGATCATTATAATAGAAATTTGGAAATACATTTTGAAATTTGTTTGGCAGTATTTGCCACATATTTCCTGAAAGGCACATTTCAGATAACTAAAAACTTACTCATGGGGATCACAACACAACCAGGCACTTTTTCATACATTTTTGTATCTGAAAAAGATACTGATTTTCTGAATACAGTGATGAACAGTTCTGTTTCTCAATAGGTGTACTTGTTTTCAATGTTTTGGATTTGTGCTGGAAACAGCGTTGATAACACAGGGATGTTTTAGTTACTGCTGAGCGATGCTTACACAGCATCAAGGCCTTTTCTCTTACTCACACCACCCCACCAGCAAGTAGGCTGGGAGAGCACAAGAAGTTGGGAGGGGACACAGCCAGGACAGCTGACCCCAACTGACCAAAGGGATATTCCACGCCATATGGCATCAATTTCAGCAATAAAACTAGGGGTGAAGGTTGGAGGGTGGGGGGGGTGGCACTGCTCGGGGACTGGTTGGGCATTGGTTGGTTGGTAGTGAGCAATTGTTTTCATTTGCATCACTTATCTTTTCTTGGGTTTTATTTTTCTCTGGTTTTTTTTTCTCCTCTTTTCCTTACAATTTATTATTATTATTTTCTTATTTTTAATTATTAAAACTTTTTTTATCTCAACCCACGAGTTTTCTCACTCTTACCCTTCCGACACTCTCCCCGTCCCACTGGAGGGGGGTAGTGAGTGAGCAGCTGTGTGGTGCTTAGTTGCCGGCTGGGGTTAAACCACGACAAGGGGGAAGGAACAGAAAAAACAAATCTCAGAGCTAGCTGGACATAAGAATCAAAAAGGACACATACGTTGAAAGACCAGTTATTAGGGAGACCACACAAAATTTTAATCTAAGAATACCCCTACAGTAACATAATAAAAATACTACAGAAGAGTAAAAAATTATTAAATGTTAGCAAATAACAAATCAAATAATAGTTTGCTGGAAAATGAATCATTCTCACTAAAGGAAACAGAAATTTGTAGGAACAAACACTATCAGAAAGGATCCACACAAAGGAAAGGACTAGGGAGTGCAGTTTGTGGCACAACCTCTCTGGATTTCTCGCTCCAATGACAGAACTATACTGCTGAAGTCCTACTTTCCAGAAAAGTTAACAACTTTGGGGCTTTTTTTTTGGCAAGCTTTCTTGAACTCCTTCTGTCAGTCCCCTAATCACGCTCCAGACAAATGTTCTGTTTTCTCCTCATCAAAAGTAGAATTCATATGCTGTTCTGCAAGGTTGATATTGTACTCATGAAGACTAAAGTGAATGTATGTAACATTAACTGCTTTTAGAGCCTACATCTTGGTGACCAATTACAATCTCAATGGGTAAACTGATTAAATCTTCGAAATCTGCAGGCAGCATTTAACTTCCAATCAAACTGTTCCACAGATAACATTTAAAAAACATAGGCAAAAATTTACAGTTAACATTTATTTGCCAAAACTAACTGCACTGCTAATTACCCTATTCTACCTATACCCTACCTTCTGACCTTACATCTTCTCTCTCATTTAGGAATAGACCTCTTATGCAAGTAATTATTTAGATTAATGAATATATAAACAACACAGAGATGGACAGAAGATCCCAGAAACATCAGTATTATTTTTAAAGCATAATCACAATGGGGGGTGTGTGGGGGGTGTGTTTGTAAAAAAAAAACCAAACCAACCATAATTAATACTTACAGTAATCCCAGCTCTCTTCAAATCAAGTATACAATCATATGCGAGCTTAATGCAGTTTACTTTCATAGAAAAACGAGCTAATTCCAGAATCAAAGGAATCCTTCAAAAATAGAAAAATGTCATTTCAGAGAATCTGGTATTGCTCTTTTATGGAATTAGAAAAACACTATATAAAAGTAACTTTGTGCAATATATCTGAAAACCTTGAAGTCATCTGAATATTAGAGGATGTGATTATACTAGTAATGCTCACAGTTAACAAGGAAAAAGGAAAAAGATTATAGTTGGCTACATGAAAAATACAAAAGTTCATCTGTTTATGGAAAATAATTACCATACTTCTACTGTAGTCTTGCACAAACTGTTCCTGAAGAACATCAAAAATACAGAATGAAATGTATGCAGCACAAAGATGGTGAAATAGCAAACAAAGATTGCAGGTAATTCTGTAAATGCAATGCAGTCAACTGGCACACAACTTACACTGACCAATGGATTTGACTGTTTTATTCAGGAACTAAGAACACAGAACACACACAGTAGGAGACGGTGTTCTAAATGTTTGGATCTCCGTAAATAACCGAATGAGCACAGTGTACTGTCTGGGATAGGAGAAGTAATGAGATACCTGGATATCATCAAAGAACATTGACCTTAACAAGTAAAAATGTAATATTACTTCCATAGGTAACAGCTGTGATGTAACTACTGGAATAGAGAGTTCAGTTTAGCCTGCATTTCAAAATTATGCTGAAGAATTGGGAAGGGCCCCAAGAAAAGCTAAAAATGAACTAAAGTCTGAAAAGCACTTGTCAATTCTAAGACCTCTTAAAAATCTCATTTTATCAACAACAAAGGGTTATGGAAAAGATTTAATCACGTTATACAAACAGCTATATGGAAGAAGACATTTAATCTTGGGTTCTTTAATAGAGCCTAATAGGACCTTTGTCTTTTTTTAAGATGACCTAAGCATTAACGCAACACAAACTATTATAACTAAGTACGAGTTCACTCTCTTCAAGGTCAATGGGAATTTTGACAGGCTTCAGTGGAAGCAGAATCAGCATCAACTTTCACGGGGCTATGACAAGTGAAACTCACTTCACACTGAGAACAGATGCTGGAGGTACATCGTATTGTTTCAAAAGTACGTATACAGAATTCAGATTTGCGGTGGCATCACTTGGAAATTCATTTGTGTCCCACTGCCTGCAATATATTAGGAATTGATCATAATTTTTCACAAGAAATATTACTGCATTAAAAATTCAAAATAACTCTCCTAACTTTAGAATGGATGGCTCTTAGTCCAATGTGTCAGTGGAATACCTGGATTTTGAAATATCAAAGAAAAAAAATTTAAAAATCAAGTCAACAAAATCTACTTCAGTATGCCAAAGTTACTCAGAGACAGCCAGATACAAAGCAGAAAGAACATTCCAGCATAAGAATTAATATTTCAGACGGTAAAGTAAATTTTATTCCAGAAACGAAGAAAAATGGTGTGCAAAACTCCTTTCCTATAACGTCAACATAAATTAATCCACTGTTACTAAGAAAAGAATTAATACTTTTAAAATTAGAAAGTGTTGAGACATTGAAAAAAAATTAAATGAGATTTTGTTGTGAAGTCTAATTTTCAAAATTGTTTTATGCCTTTAAAATTTAAAAAGTTTAAAAAGTATTATGCTTCCCATCCTTGCGATTCATGCATTATATTTTAGGTGTGATTTCCCCACTTCATCTTTACTCTCTTATACATGACCTGTGTACAGAACCACAATCTGTTGGATACAAAAATGTCTTTCAATCTCTTGAATTCTTTCACCTGAGAATATCTGTACAACACACTATTCCCTACCTTCCCAAAGACCTATCTCACTTTTTAGCTGAGGCTGTTCTCTAGACAGGCCTGACAGTTACTACCCAAACTGTCATTATAATTTTCCGTTTGAGAAACTAATCTTTGCAGTAGATTTTTCTACTGGCATATTGGATACCAGAATCTGACCCTACCTCTGTACTATCAAGCATCAAAGTACAAGTGGAAGGATACAGTTTAATACTTACAATTTTAACATCTGCATTTTATAAATAACTGAAAAATGGATGGAATTTTGTACTTCCTTCTCTACCTGGGCAATATCCATTAGCTTGTGATATACCTATAAAATAATAATTTAATTATTAATTGACTAAATAAGCAAACAAAGGACAGACACTCAACGGGGCTAAAATAAAGCAGGTGTGTTGACTGTAGGCTTTTTCATGGACTTTAAGGGCAGTGAGGCTACTACAATAATCTATGTTGTTCTGCATAGATACCACAAAGATCACCTAGTAGAGCTATACTAATCTTCACATAGTGAGGATCAGAAGTATTAGCAGAAATCTTAATGTGGAACTAACATCTGAGTTAGAATTCTAATTAATGCATTTTTAATAACACCTTTTGGTAGTACTCATTCTGAAATCATCTCATCCAGCTATGAGAAACGAGCCCTATTCAAATTTATCTGTAACTATAAATTATATATAACAAAAAATATTATGAAGAAATGACAATAAACTGTAGTTACTTCAATTTAACTGTGGAGTTACACATTAAACGTGCACATCCTTCTGACTCTCTCACACTGACTGCCCGTAGCAATCAATACTGATTACTTAAGCTGTACTGGAACAATAAGTTTTGCAGGACTTAATTATGCTGTTACTAAAGCACTCAATAGTGTGGATCATACTTCTGTAGCCCTGCTGAGACACATAGCCCAAGTACAATTTTAGAACTACTTTATTCTTCTGTTTAAGGCCACTGTCAAATAGCTTTGCTCAACACTGCCTCTAAAAAATACAAAAGTCATTTCAACCTTGCCTAAATGTTATTGTTTCATTAATATCGCACCTCTGGAAGGTTGTACGTTGGTTCTCTTAATTCAAATGTTAGAGAACTTTATATTATAAACGTATGGTCTTGAAATGCAGTGATTGAGAGTGGACAGAAAAAGACAATAGTGTAACAGAATGAAAGAAAATATGACTGTATGCAACAAGTTCCAAGTTTTATTTGCCTATTTCTGCTTTTGCCACATTAGCCTTCACCCTCTTATTTCCCAGATTAAGGGCACGCAAGAAGTGTGAACTGTTGTCATATGCTCCGATTCCTAGAACTATTTATAGTGTTCGAGCTGGGTCATTTAAGTATTTATCAGCATGAGAAAAGTCAACAGATGCTAAACATGCTCAATGGCATAAGGCAGGTTAAGTTGCACCCACTACACCTTCAGTGTTAATAGTAATTATTCCCAAACAGAAGTTTTAGGGTTAGCAACAGTTATCCCGATGATACTATGTTGTATTAAAATAACACAGAGCAGTAGGGCACTCTTTAGATTATAGTATCAAAAATATACAAATTGTAAAAATCTCTGCATATCTACTATATCATTTGGTAGCTCACAAAATTTAAATGAAGGAAACAACATATTTAACAATTATAGCTATGATCTTATGAAATGTAGAGAAAGCTCCTGTCTTACTGGGAGTTTAAAATATTTTACAACATTACCATTAGAGAAAATATTTGAGAGTATTTATCTGGAACGTTGTCCTTAATAAAGACTGCTGCAGTAGATGAAAACTCTTTTGCTTCTTTCAGTTTTGAAGCATCAAGGAAGCACTCAAGTAAATTTCTTCAGATCAAATAAATATTTGTATTAAATATTTATTAACGCTTTCTGAAATTATTCTTATTTATATTTTTTCAAGAGACTCTTTATATTCAAGGTACCACCCCTAAAAGCAGTACAAGCGATTGGTGCTATAAAGCATTGACTCAACACAAAAGAGATCCTCTAACTTCTACATCTTTGTTTCTTCTGGATATACACAGCCGTTAACATACATTTATTGCAGATCACAAAAATAATCTTGGAAAAGGAGATTTTTGTGAAAACTTTTCTCAGCAGGACACCTGGAATTAAAATGATTAATTATTTAAAGTTGTATGAGAAAAACATTTCTGTGAGATGTATTCTAAGATTCTCCCTTACCTACTGGAAAGGCTAGTATTTCAAAGCCATCTAGCAAAAGAAAACTATTCATGTTGGGAACTGCAACATATCTACTGGATTTTCAATACTTTATCTGATTTAACTGAAAAAGAATCCGTGATTCCATGAAATTAATTAAAACAACAACAACAACAATAATAATTATTGTTCTTATTCAAAAAATAAATACAAATGTAAGAAAAAATAAATGCTACCATTAGTTTCACAACACAAACACATTGTGTGCACTTGTTAGTTCTCATCAATACCTCAGCAAAAGTATGTATGGTATTAAAAAAACTATGCATGCATGGTATACTAGATAACCTTTAGCACACCCTTTGGAATGTTTTGTTACTTACTTTTTTTATTTCCCTCCAGTTTCAGCTTATAAAGAAAATGCTGCATAGCAATAAACCATCAGTCATAGACCAAAGAAATAGAAAAGTTCACAAAAAGAACAGAAAAAAATGTGGCAGAAGTGTAACAGGAACTGGAAATGGTCTGTAGAATAGCAGACCAAAACATCTCTGAGAAAAGGTTGTCTGACCTTGAAAAATTACATGGACACTCCATTTCGCACATAAAACTGTTTCTCTCAGTAGAGATATCTCAAGGTTTATGCTCCAGCTTTACTCAGGAAATGTAAGAATGGTAATACATTGATATTGATACACCATTTATTACCAATTGTTATCAAATTATTATCAAATAATTGGTAATAATGCAAATGTGTATAATAGTACTGATAGTGCACTTGGTTGATTGTGGGTTTTCTTTTGACTTCCATTTTAATCTTGCTTCGGAAAAAAAACATTCAGTTCAGTTCTAAAAGTAGAATTACCAACAACAAATTAATTTACTAGCAGAATCAGGTATTATAAAAATATGTATCTTCTAACTTTCTGTATTCCTTATAATCTTTAAATTAGAAGATGAGAGCTGAGACTTGATGCCGCCTTTGCCTCAGTCTTCACCAGAAAGGTCTCCCAGGCCTTCTGCCTGGTGAAAGCATTCAAAAAAATTCAGTAAAGCAGATCTACCGAAAAGAACCTGGGGGTCCTGGTGGCCAGCCAACTGAACACCAGCCAGCAGTGTGCTCTGGAACCAAAGGTGGCCAACAGCATCCTGGGCTGTATTAACAGGAGCACAGACAGTAGATCGTGGAGGCATGTGCCTACAGGGAGGCAGGTCACTGAGAAGATGGACCCAGGCTCTTTACTAAGGTACATGGCAGGAAGACAAGTGACAATGGGTGCACATTGAAACAAGAGAGGTTTGGAGTGGTAATAAAGAAAAACTTTCTCCCCATAAGGACAGTCAAGCAGAGTTGCTGCAGCTCAGAGAGGTTGTGCAGTCTCCATCTTTGACTGCTTCCAGACCTGCCTGGATAAAGTCCTAAGCCTGACCCCACAGCTGACCCAGCTTTGAGCAGGAGGTTGGATTACCCATCTCATGAGGTCCCTTCCCACCTGAATTGCCTTGCAATCCTAAAGTATGTGCTACATCTCTAGACATCATCTCTCAGGATTATTCCAGATGTCAGCTGTCAGGTTTAGTTTTTTGAAGCAATATAGTACCTATGTAATGAACTTGTCTTCAACTTTTGGAATAGCTTGTGAAAATAGATACCTTTACCCTTGGTTCAGTTCTACTGTGTATTCTAAGTATTAAAGCTTCCCATTAACAGTAATTTTCTGCTCAACCGACATTATTTCTCTTGTGATTTATTTTTACTGAGGTTTTTGGATATTATTTGCTGTTTCTTTCACTGAAATTAAATACTGAAGATGCAATAAAGCTGTCTGCATGTTGACTAGGTTGCTTTCTAACATTACTTTTCCTTAGTGACCATAGACTTATGAATATCTGTGCTGTGGTTTTGGCTGGGGTAGAGTTAATTTTCTTCATAGTAGCTAGTATGGGGCTACGTTTTGGATTTGTGCTGAAAACAGTGTTGGTAACACAGAGATGTTTTCGTTACTGCTGAGCAGTGCTTACACACAGTCAAGGCCTTTTCTGCTTCTCACACCACCCCACCAGCGAGTAGGCTGGGGGTGCACAAGAAGCTGGGAAGGGACACAGCTGGGACAGCTGACCCCAACTGACCAAAGGGATATTCCACGCCATATGATGTCATGCTCAGCAATAAAACTAGAGGTGAAGGTTGACAGGGGGGCTGCTGCTCAGGGACTGGTTGGGCATTGGTTGGTTGGTGGTGAGCAATTGTTTTCATTTGCATCGCTTGTCTTCCTTGGGTTTTATTTCTCTCTGTTATTTTCCTTTTCATTACAATTTTTTATTGTTATTACTACTACTATTATTTTATTTCAATTATTAAACCATTCTTATCTCAACTCACGTGTTTTCTCACTTTTACCCTTCCAATTCTCTTCCCCCATCCTGCTGGGGGCGGGGGGAGTAAGCAAGCGGCTGTGTGGTGCTTAGTTGCCAGCTGGGGTTAAACCATGACAGCCCACTTGTGCTGCTCAATCCAGAAACATCTGTTCTCACTAGCAAAGACCTGAAATTATCTAACAGGTATCTCTTTCTCTTAAAATTTGTATTTCAGTAAAATATGAACTGCAATCAGAGATTGCAAATCAGATACTATCACCTCAGATGCTTTAAATTTTGTTCTTTACATTTATTTTAGAGAAACTTAACATACAAAACAGAAACAGTGTGGCCAGTAGGACTAGGGAAGTGGTCGTCCCCCTGTACTCGGCACTGGTGAGGCTGCACCTCAAATACTGTGTTCAGTTTTGGGCTCCTCACTACAGGAAAGACATTGAGGTGCTGGAGTGTGTCCAGAAAAGGGCAACGAAGCTGGTGAAGGGTCTAGAGCACAAGTCTTATGACGAGCGGCTGAGGGAACTGGGGTTGTTTAGCCTGGAGAAAAGGAGGCTGAGGGGAGACCTCATCGCTCCCTACAACTACCTGAAAGGAGGTTGTAGCGAGGTGGGTGTCGGTCTCTTCTCCCAAGCAACAAGTAATAGGACAAGAGGAAATGGCCTCAAGTTGTACCACGGGAGGTTTAAATTGGATATTAGGAAAAAATTCTTCACCAAAAGGGTTGTCAAGCATTGGAACAGGCTGCCCAGGGAAGTGGTTGAGTCACCATCCCTGGAGGTATTGAAAAGACGTGTAGATGTGGCGCTTAGGGACATGGTTTAGTGGTGGACTTGGCAGTGTTAGGTTAACGGTTGGACTTGATGATCTTAAAGGTCTTTTCCAACCTAAATGATTCTATGATTCTAAAACCAAGTGAAACTCTGCCAAAAGGTCTAACTCTGAATATCAGATCTGTAAACCTACAACTATATTTAAACAAAAGTAACATTAGGACCTTATTTTTGCCTGAATTCATAACAATAAAATTTCTTCTTGTTAGTGAACAGCTGTCAGAGACATCGAGCAGATTATATTAGCATATGCCTTATACATCTTATTTACCATTGATCTAAATTTCCACAGCACAGCTTCACATCTAATCTAAGTCAAGGAATTAATCATTTAAGCCTTCCCGTTAGATTAATTAAAATGACACAATAATCTGGGCACACACATAATTTATACAATTATACCCTCAAAAGAAGCCAGTATCAGCCTTAAATATATGTAGCCACTCCATAAAAAAAAGACACACTGCTCTCAACAAATATCAACTATATCGTACCAAGATGTTTGAGCAGGAGCGTTGGACTAGGTGATCTTGAGAGGTCCCTTCCAACCTCAACTGTTCTGTGAAGATGGCAGAACCAGGGGCCTTTCACTGAGAAGATGTACGCTTTGTTATAACCCAGGACTGTTAACTCAAGCAATTTAGTCAACCTCCATTGTCAAAGGCTCTCACATTCTAAAGAATTAAAGAAAAACTAATCTTTTAACTAGGATCCCATATTCCTAGGAAAATAGTTTCCAAGACTATTTTGCTAAAACCCTCTACTCTGTCTGAAGAAAACTCCTTCGCACATATTTTTTCTTAGCAGGAGGGACCACGTTTAAACACAATAATATTTAAATTCTACCATCTGAACAACCCACTGATGATGTCTGAAAAATAAGTGTGCAGCTGTCATCATATATACACCGTTCAACATGCAATGGGAAGTCAGATTAAGACCACTCATACATAGCTCAAACGAACAGGGATATTTTCAATAGATACACTGATAATTATTTAAGCATATTGCATAATACGTTAACATGTACCTTTCTGCTATTCTCATTATGGAAAAATGTATTTAAAGGCAATATACCAAAAAGTATTAATTTATTCAGTCGCTTAAAACCCAGCAGCTATAGCAGAAAGTAACAACATACATGTCTATTTAAAAACTCTGTATTTGTACCTATCTTTTAAAATTACATTTAATCACGTTGCATTTTTCATTTCCTTATACAAGCAATAAGGACTTTCAGTCATGCTTAATAAGAACATCCTTGAAATGGGGAAAATAACTACAACGTACTTCTTCAGCCACAAATTGTCTTCAGTGAAATAGCAATTGCTAAAGATTCTTACTAGAATTAATTATTTAATTCCATGTAAATTACACTATACACACATCTGAACAGTATGTATGCAGAAAACCCTACATATTTCCCAAATAAAACATGAAATTAGTTGACAAATTTCAGTTATGACAGACATAAATATGGCACTTATTTTTATCCAACCCTAGATTACTAATCTCTTCCCTAAAAATTATTAGACTTTTAATTCTAAATTTTTTGCATAATACTTAAAGATATTCTGTGAATTCACCTTGTTGGGAGGTTTAACTCTCAAATAACAATCTGTCCTGGTTTCAGCAGGGATAGAGTTAATTTCCTTCCTAGTAGCTGGTACAGTGCTGTGGTTTGGATTTAGGATGAGAATAAAGTTGAT